CCTGGAAGCACAGCCAGGGCAGTCACCTCGGTGCCCAGAGCAAGGGCTGGCCTGGGGCAGCAGGGAGGGCTGAACACCCACCTGCTTATTCACAGCAGAGAGCAGGAACCAGGAGGGTCACTGAGCTGCAGTGAGCAAGAGATTAATAAATAATAAATAGGAGCAGCATCAATTACCAGTGCCAAAGGGGGATGCTGGATCTGGATGCAGTTCTGCTGACTGGGGCATATTGGTAAACCACAGAGTGCTTTTAGCTTCCACCCCGACATTAATTTTGGCAGAGGAAAGAGGTTTTATTAAAAGTACTGAAAATGTCATTCATCTCTATTCCTATTGCATTTGTTACGAGGATTTAAACCCTGATATGGAGCTATGGGGAGATGCAAGAATTGAAATGGACTCATCTGATCATAAAAATAAATGAAACTCTAAACAGAAGCTCACGTTTTAAACAGTGAGAAGCACATTTGTGTATTATATTTCTAGTGCTGTAAGGTGGTACTGATATGACCTGTTTTTCAAGGTTGTTTTTTTCTCTAAGGTGTTCTTTTTAAATCCTTTGCAAACCAAATTATCTGTAGGTACGTTATGACAGCAGCCCATAATCCATAGGGGAAAAAAATTAAATAAAAGGTGGGAATGTGGAGAAATGAAACCATTCAATTACTGTTTTAAAATATTAAATTCAGAGGAAACAAATCCATTCTCTGAAGTAATCTCAGCTGTTCAAAATACTGCTGTAAGTTCACTTATTCGAAATTGTCCCCATGTTTTGTGCTTGTTCATGTGACCATTGGGGAAAGGGGGTGGATAATGTTACTTTGAATGTCTATTTTTTAATGTATTTCTTGACCCTTTTGAACTTCTTAGTCCAAAACTGTTTGTGTTTTAAGGTTTACCAAAATATTTCCCATCAAAATTACTTCTTCAATGAATGTTTTGGCTTGACTAAGCAAAAATAGACATGTAGAGGGGCTTAATTTTTTCCAGCACGTCTAATTGTCTTTGTATAAAAACTCCATTTTTCATGCCGTTTAATTACTAAAACATTAATTTTTCCCAAGAAACTTCCCACTGGCTGAAACACACACAGATATTTCCACATCTTGGAAAATACCCAGGAAGGATTCTAACTTTTCTCGTCCTGTATTTGCTGTTTGGAAACATGAATTTTACAAGCACGTTCTTTCTAGCAGGTGCTCACAAGAAAGGGGTTTGCAGAATCAGGACCTTTGCTGACAAGGGTCTGGGATTTGGAATATTTGCTGTACCAGAATCCCAGAGGTCCCATGAAAGTTCTCTTTCTGTGACTCAGAATGACCCACCCTCCTCTTGTCCAAGGGACATGAACTTCCCCAGAAGTGTCGAGCTTGGCTGCAAGTTCTTTCACTCTGAACTGTATTTTGCTCAGTCCCAGCACATTTTCCCAAATAAATACTTCCTCTTGGAGTACAGGATGTAACTATTACTGAATCTTACTCACATTATTAGCTATTGCAATGAAATTAATAACTATTGAACTTTCTAAGGACCCCCTATCCCTTTTCTTTACTGCAATTAGGCTTTGTTTGACCAAGCAGAGATTCTCCAGGGACTGTGGTAGAAGTCCCCTGACCCTAAATATTTTTGCTTTATGAATGCAGTTTTTGTTGCCTTATGCTTTATGCTTTATGCCTTATGCTTTATGTTGCCTTTTTTGCTTTATGAATGCAGTTTTTGTTTGGATTCTCTCCCTCAGCTGCAGGTAAGGCTCTCAGAGACCAGTGCTCTCCTCAGTAATTCCAATGTTTGGGAGCAGGACACACACCTGCCTTCCAAAGCTGCTGGCAGGGATGGGAGAATGTTCTCTGGGAATCTGACACGGAGCTGGGTAAGCAAATCCTTGCTGTGTTTGAAGGTGTTTCACCTTCACCACTGCTCTGGTGTGCCTGGCATCACGGGAAGTTCAGGAGCCAGGCTGAATTCTCAGGGTGGATTCTAAACTCAGCATCTCCTGGGTGCCAGTTGTTTTTCTGCTGGTTGCTCAATAGGACAATTAACCCCTTGAGGAAAGTCCCTTTAAATGGGGAAATATTAGGCTTTAAGCTTTCACTCCAACTGCTTAATCAGCATTCATGCAACTGAAATGTTCCTCACCAGATTACTTAAAGGGTGACCTACATGTGTGCAGTTGGCTGGGTGCACATGTGTGTGTTTGCAGAACTGTAGAACCTGATTTCTACAATTATTATAATGTTATTGTTGCTATCATATTATTTCCCAGGAGCACTTTTAAAAGCCAAGCTACAGCTTGCAAATTTAGTGGTACAGCACCAAATGTAAACCCGTAACACACACTTGAGTACTAGAAAAAGTAGCACAGGGAGGAGAGTTCTGATACAATTCTGATTGTAGGATAAAAAACCCACCCAAACCCTACTCTTCTGGCTCTCCCAACATGGGTTTACATAAAGAAATGGGGAAAAAAGGAGAATTGGTGGTTGGGAAGTGTATAAACAGGCTTGGACCAACCTTAAGACACCTGTATATGTTTCAAGGTTAGAAGATGAAGAACAGACAAAGAATCAGAACAGAGCTGGCTCCCAGCAGAGTTCTGTATTTTGTTGAACAAATATTCATATTGATCACTATTATAGTATTTAATTGTGTAAATAATAATTGTAATATAATTCCCTTCCCCCCATACTGAGCCTTGTGTTATGTCTGAAAAACGCTCTCACACTGAAGTGAATTGTGGGAGGGGGGCTTGGACTTGGAAATTGGATTTTTGGGGGTCTCAAACCACGACAATCACAAAACTGCATATTTGTACCACACCGTAGGAATTTAGCACAGTATAAAATTCCGGTGCTGACTGCAAGGAACACCAGATCCAGGTTCCACCAACCCCAGCATTTCATCTCCCTCCTTTCCACAAGCTGCCCAGGGTCAGTGGCTCAGAGATTTCCCATCATTGTCCCTCAGTTCCCTTGGAGTGACTTGCAAAGTCTCTCAGCAATTCTGAGCTGACTGTCCTTGAACCCACTTCAGATCAACCATCCTAATCCTCACCACGAGTAAGAAGTTCAGGATCATCTTCCTGATGATCATTAGTTAGGAACTCAGGTGTATGGACTCTGCTGCCTTTGTGTCCTACATTACATGCAGCCTCTCAGAACCAGTTCCCCTCACCTTAAAACGCTGTCAATTATATTCTCCTCAGACTCCAACAGTTTTGCTAATTTTATGCGATGTTCTCAGAAGTCGTTTAAAATAACTCTTTTGTTCCATAATAACAGGGAAACCGAAAGAAACTGTGAGAATGCAGAATGTAACTAAGGAGACTGAGCTACTCCTACTTTTTGCTCTGCCTGCCCTCACTGAGCATTGCTGTTCAGTGTGCTTTTACTGATTTATTTCCTTTAATGAACGACCTTGGTATTCTGCTACCTGGGTCCTTCCTCGGGAAGGAGCAGCCATGGTTGTCATTGAGTTGTTAAAGAACTGGCAAATAACAGTTCTGAACCAGGGTTTAAAAGATAAAATGATAGTTAAGAAAAAGAGTTCTGAACAGACTCGGGAAGGAAGCTGAAATTTAAACATTGTAAAAGCTTCATTTAATTTGGGTGGAAAGTCGGGAGAAACGAGGGCTCTGCATTGCTTTTGGGACCAAATGGAGAACTTCAAACTAGATCAGACTCACGTTTGATCTCTGTGGATCTCTCCAGGTTTAACAGAATTCACACCACAGCAATCAGAGGATACACAGGCAGGCAAATTATTATGGAAGGGGAGACAGTGCTGGTGTGATTCTGGGATATGAGCTGGTCCTTGGAATTCTTATTTTGAGTAAGTCTATTAGAAACACTTACCTGAAGTCACAAATAGAGAAAGGAAGAGGAAAAACATAATTATTTATTACTTCAGCAGTATTCTTAATCCACCTGAGGAGCTATGCAATTTTGAGAAGTGCTGATCTTTCATCTTTTTTTTACAGAGCATAATTTACACCCTAATGGTGACAGTCTTTCAGAGATCAGGAGCATCTTGAGTTACCATAAGAATCATGCAATACATTGCAATGCAATAACAATATGTGAATTTTTTATGGCAACAATGCTACTTGCATGCAAAAAATAATTTATAAAGTGGGACTGCCTAAAGATTCACCTCACTCAGGATGCTCCCTACAAAGGGGTTAATAACAGCAGCTGATTGAGAAAAAGGTGCAAGAAATTTTGCAATTGAGAGCTATGGAGCAACCTGCTTGCAGAGCTTCTTTACATCTCAGCCAAGCTTCAGGAGAAAAACTGCTATTTTTGTGTGAGCTGACCTAGTCCTGGCCTGTGTGGAAGCCCCAGGTTTGAGAAATGTCACCATTTGGTGAAATTCTGCCAGTTACCTCTATTTCAGGTGTTCTGATTCGCTTTGGCTACACCAGCTACCAAGTGGCCCAACAAAAAAACCATAATATTTGGGTTTGTCAGTTAGTTGTCTATAGTAGATCTTCAGGTTTTAGCAGATCTTTTCAGCTAAAATTTTAATTACAAACAATATTTTTGTAGTATGCAGAAGCAGAGCAAGTCATACAATGGATAGGTCCATTTATTTCTGGTGACCTGCACACTTGCCCACTGAACTACAAAACCAGGGCAGTTTATGGACCTGTGTGCACGTGCAAGAAAAGGAAGGTTAAAAATTAAAAAGAAATTAAAGAAATCAAGATAATGCACCTGCAGGAGCTTCCAGCACAGGGCTGTGTGAGGGCATCAGGACAAACCACTGCAACGTGAGGTTCCTCTGACAGATTTTAAACTGCAGCAAAACTGATTTGTCCAGTGAGATTTGCAAAGCAAAGCAAAGCAAACCCCACCCAGCCCACGTGGAACAACCCTCCCCTCTGCAAACAACCACTTCCAAGCCTCATAATCCCGCTCCATAATAGCAGGATAACTGTGTATCAATCACAATTTTCACTGCAGAACAAGATATAATTGAGTCACCGCATCAGAAACAGAAAGTGTTGCAACAGTTGTATTTTTACAAAAGAATAGGTGCGGTGGAAGCATCAGCTCTGTGGACGTGTGGGAGAAACACATTGGATAGTTGAGTTTCCTTACCCAAATTCCATGGATTTGAGGACATGGCAGAGCACAGACCTGTGGGCAGAAACACCCGTCAGCTCTCAGAAAACAGAGAACACATAAAAATTGGGATGCAAGAAAATCAGAGATTCCTAGGAGAGGATAAGGTCTGAATAAGTGGTTTATTTAAAAAAAATCCCCATATTTAGGTACTGTAATTGTCCCACTACTAAAAGCATGTAAGGGAAATATAAGGGAGGAAAGCAGTAAGTATTTGTATGATAAGGAATGTGCAATGAGAAAAAAGCACACATTAGGTTTTAATGGTGTACTTTATAATGACATAATTCATTATATAATTAATTCACCCAACAATTCTAGTCTAGTAACAAAATCTTAATGCCACTGCTTTCTAGAAGTAACAAAATGTGATTTGATACTTGTTATGAACCTCAGAGTGTTATTTTTGTTCACTACACAGATTTTTTTTCTGTATGATCCAGCGTTAGGTGAAGATTTTCCACAAAATCTGATAAGACACATGAATTTTCCTTTGCAAAACAAGGATTTTTCTCTTCTTCTCTTCCTTTTTTTTTTAATCCTTTGTGTATATAATTTTTTTTCCCTGATGTAGCAAGTGGTCATTCTTTTCCACACAAATTGTGGTGTATTCCCAAGAGGGTATTTCAATCTCTGCTGAGCCTAAAAGCAATCTCTAACTAAAAAAAAAAAAAATCATGCAACTTGCCTCCTATAAATCTCCCTGAGATTTTATGACTTAAATGTTGTGTGTAACTGCTTTTGAGATCTCTAGAAAACTTTGCAAATATCTAATTAACTTGTGGTGTTTCTTAAGCACTGAGATTTAATCAGTGTTTTCCAGATGGGAGTGCTGGATGAATCTCTGGCCTCGAGACCATTGACATTCCCATCTGCATACATGTGGTTCCACAGATTTTAGTGGGATAATTCCTGTCCACAATGCACATGTACATGTATTTCTTTCAGGGGTGGAAGAGAAATTCTTTCCCCATGGTTACTGATGGAATATAAGCAATTTGGGACAATAATTCAAGAATAATTTATTCTAATGTCAGGAAGCTTCTTGTTTTGTTATTTGTAAATTTCAGGGTGACAAATTAAAGCTTTGGTGCATCATAAACATTACTTAAAAACAAACATTTGATTATTGCAAAACCAAGGTTTAACCACACCAGGATCTAATAGTTTTTCATAACAGACAACCTGAATAATAGCCAACCCACTTTGCTGCAGTTTAATTGGCAAACCTGCCCTTTCCCTTACTAATTACAGGTAACCACACCTTCCTTCAGAAAGCATGACAGCAAGGAACAGTTTGGTTTAAATTCTGAAGAAGGAAGAATCTTCCAGGGGGAGAGTTTGCAGGAAAAGTAGCCAGGTAATGTCAACTCTTTAACAAGGTGTAAACAAAAAAGGAGGGTAACCCCCCCCCAGATTTACCCTGTTGGAGGAGGACAAGTGATGCAACACTGTATTAATACTTACTTTTCAATATTAATTAGGGTTTCAGTATATGAGTTCTGGTGTGAAATGATCCTATCTTGGAAACATCTCTCCTGCCTGGTTTACGTGAGGCCCAGCCTGTAAGACAGAAATTGCATTTTTTTTTTCTAGTGCTAATCCATTTTTTCTACTTTCTCTTCCGTGCAAACCCTTCCAGACCAGTGATGGATGTTGTGAGGAAAATATGAAAAGGCTCTGGAAGCTTTGGCTGCGTGAGCACCTTTATTGCCAACACTGGGAAAACAGAAGTTCTAAGCTACGGAATTGCCACTCGTCGAGTTCCCGAGGGAAAGATCAGAGAATCGTGGAATAGTTGGGGTTGGAAGGGACCTGTGGAGATCCTGCAGTCCAACCCCTTTGCCCAGGCAGGGTCCCCTGGATCAGGGGACACAGGGACACATCCAGGGGGGTTTGGGATGTCTCCAGAAGGGGCCATCTCCATGGGAAGAAGTTCTGCCTCGTGCTGAGGTGGAACTTGCTGTGTTTTAGTTTATGGCCATTGCTCCTCATCCTGTCCTTGGGCACCACTGGCACAGTCTGGCACTGTCCGCCTTGGAGATATTTGTATGGATTGCTCAGATCCCCTCTCAGCCTTCTCTTCTCTGGACTAAACAGGCCCGACTCCCACAGTCTCCCCTCACACGCTGGTGATACAAAGGTATTTATTGCTTTCCAGCCCTCTGCGAGCAGCACTTGAAGGCCTCTGGCCCTCCCTTCCCACCCTTGTGGGAACCCTGGGCAGCCCCGAGCGCTCCACACGCTGAGGGGGCCGCGCCTCTGCCCGCCCTGCGCTCCGCGCCAGCCCCTCTGCTCCCGCACCACCATCCGCGGGGCTGTTCCCTGCCTTTTTTTTTTTTTTTTTTTTTTGTTACCCCCCAAGCTCTCGCAGCCTTTTTTTTTTTTTTTTTACTTTTTCTTCCCGGCCTGCAGGGCCGGCGGGGTGGCCGCGAACCCTCCTCTTCGCTCCGCCCGCCCGCGCCCTTTGTTCGCGCTGAGGGGGCGGGAGCGCGCGCGCAGGGCGGGAAGCGGGAGCGCGAGCGAGCGGCCGCGGGCACGCGCGCGCGTGCGGCCGCCGCCGCCGCCCCGCCCGAGGGGCCGAAGGGCGTTGCCCGGCCGGGAGCGCGCACACACACACACACACACACACACACCGCGAGGCGCCCGGGAGCGCGCGCACCCACCGCCCGTCCGCCCGCCCTCCCGCCCGCCCCGGCCGCGCTGGGCGGGTGCCCGGTGGAGGCGGCGGCGGCGGCGGAGCCTCCGGTGAGAGGCTTCGGCTGGGGGGGGGGGGG